AAATCTCAATAAGTTATTTAAAGCCTTTCCTTAGCTATCTAGCTCTCCCAATCACTCTACTTATGAGAGGCGCCTTTCATGGAAGAGCACCCAACAGGGGCTTATAAAATAAACACCGATCGGTCGCATTGAAGAATCATGGTCGCCAATTGTGGTAGTCTTCTTCAAGATCATTCTGGTAATTGGATCGTGGGTTGTAGTTGCAAGATTGGTACTACTATCAATCTTGCTGTTGAATTCTGGAGAGTCCAAGATGGACTTCTTGCTCTTCAACATGATATCCAGACCCTGATTGTTATGATCGATTCACTTATTAGTTATCAACTAATCTCTAAGGATTATTTCCCTAATAACCCTTTGTCTTCACCAATTCTGGATTCCAAGGAAATTTTGGCCAAGATCCCTCAAGTTCAACCACATCACGTTTTAATAGAGCCTACCATGTGTGCCTACAAGTTGGCAGCTATGGGCATTCAATTTCTTCTAATTTTTGTGTGTTTGTCCAAATATTATAATAAAATTTCAAACTCTTAACCATTTGAAACACCCTTTAGAGCCACTCATCCTATCTTGTTATCTCCTTGTTCGTATGAGTTTCCTTTCAAAAAGGAGATATTGGCTTATCATTCCATAGGAGCCTGCTAAAAATTGCAAATTGAAGACACAAGGTAACTTGCATATCAACAGCAACTAATAATAATTTCCATTTCCATGATTAGTAGCAGTTCATGACACTAAAATTACAAGTAGAAATGAGAAAGTATGCAGAATTTACTTCCATCGGTGACTCTACATACTTTCTCATGTTAGATTGCCGAATATCTTCCCTTAGTCGAAGCAAAATAAGGATGATATGCACTATTTTCTTCTCATTATATTTCTGCTGACCTTAGTGAATCCACAAAAGAGCCAGATATCCTGGTGTATCCAAAAAGTACTTCTCCCAGGCAGGCACTCAGCAAAGAACTCTGACCTGTTTCCCTCCACAAAAGACTATTACCTTCTATTAGCAAAAGAAAAAACTATGAGCTACCTACTCAAGTACCTGCCATCACCATGGAGCTTTAGCTGCTTCTTCGAACATAATCTCAAGGCTATCAGGATTCACCTCCAGTGTCTTAATTTCAGTATCAAGCACGTTTAGCTTCTCATTCACTTCGAAAAGCTTTGATTCGAGCATTCTCTTCTCCTCCTCTGCAATATCCCATTCATATTTTGCTTCACGGCACCTCTTTGATTGCAAAGAAAGTTTTGTCAATTGGTGCAACCGCACTTGTAAAAACCCAACATTCATGCCTAAAACCTCAAAAGCTTTTAATGTTTTATCCCAAGTCAAAAAATTGTCCTCCGAGGTGTTAAGTTTAGAAGCTCTTATTGCATCAGCTATGTTGATGGTCTCAGCAATTACTCCAGCTGCCAGTTTACAGTTGAGTCCCTCAAGAAGATGGTCATGAAGGAATGAATTCTGACTGCAGCAGAGCTCATAATACTTAGTCTGAAGGTATTTGCTAAGCCCAGAGTTAATGATCAATCCATTCACAAGAATAGTAAAATCCTTGATGCTTTTCACATCTTTGAAGTCCACAACAGAATCTGATAACATAATTCCATCCATAACCTCAGAGACAAGATTCTCACTGTCATTTTCAGAATGATGTGAGACAGGCGCCATATTAGTGCCATTAGACATCAAGCTAACATTTTTATTGTTCTCTTCAGAAATGTCAGGTGCAAGCATCATCTCCTCCAAAGACATATCTGCCATTTCCTCATGAATCTCTACTTCCTTCTCTGCATATTTGCACATTGATAATAAATGGTCACGAAATTGAAGAATTTAACATTTTCAATGATAAAGGAGAAAAAGCAGAGCATGAAATCACTTGCCAAGGGCTGCTGGTTTGTTGCAAGCCTCTAACTTGAGAAGGCCAAGAGCACCATCTACTTCATCATAACCATTGCATCTCACAATATACACCTTTAAGAAGGCAATTCATAAAGCACATGTGAGGAATGGAAGAAATGTTGGTTTGACATACCATAATACATGTAGATTACCACTTGAAAGTGATTGACAAATACATAATCACTGTTTATAGTTTGCACAACTGATACTAGGAGCTGCTATAAACCTGTTCATGCATTGTATTTCTCCAACCGAAGTAACAACGAGACCGAACATTGGAGGAGACTCAAATGACAGTTAACATAAGTTAATAACATGTAGGCTTAAAGAACTACCTTAAATTTTAAGCGTTCGACCAAATGGAAAACCACAACATCTCCTTCCAATAATTTGTGTGCAATGGAAAACCATCTCCAGCCTGCACTAAGGCCAGCTTTTCCCGCTAGATATTTTGTTTCAAACTCTTTACCATTTTCATCTTCCAATATCATCACTGTATCTTGCTTTGGCAAATAGATCTGGCTGAATCTCCTGCAAATACCCTGCCGTTCAAGAAATTAATACAGATAAATATGGAGTGACCCCATATGTCATGGTTTGGTTGCCGTGGGGTTTTTCTACTAAACTTGTTGATCAAGGTTCAATTCTCAAGAAGGCCATGAGGAGGTGATTCCTCAAAAAAACCAATAGTCCTGACACGAATGGACTGCCTTCAACCAGACAGGTGTTACACCAAAAAAAAAAAAAGGTATGTAATGCAGAACTAATTAAAATTTGCACAAGGCAAAAGCAAGGCCTAGATTGAGTGCTACCAGCCAAAATCCTTTGGTGACATGAGACTGAAGCAAGTGCTTAATGAAGCTTGGAAATTCAGTCGATAAATTAGCTTGAACCTCCCTTGCTCTCTCCATTACAGCAGACTTGACTCCATCTTTGCCCAAGTCATCATCATATGTAGCTCTCTTTCGTTTATGGCTGAAAAGAAGTAATAAAACCAATGTTGTCATAATGTAATTGAACATCCATAATGCTCAAAAAGGGCATTCAATTGAAAAGAGCTCACTGACCATAGAGGCTTGTCCTGACGATTACAAGCTACCTGCCCAAGCATTGACAAAATTGATCAATTAATTCAACATAATCGTGTCGAAAGTTCAAGTCAAGAGAAACCCAATAAGAAACAAGGTCTTAACTAGCACTTGTTGACCCCTTCTTACCCTACCATAACTCATTACAACTTTTTCCCTCTCCCATTTGCCCCAATTTAGAGGAATAGTGAAAATGAGGATTTGAACATCCAAACAAGATTGAAAAGGCAATATATTTATCATGGGTTTTTTTGTATACAAAGCATAAAAAAGAGCTATTAGAGAGAGGGATATTGGGGAGTAAAATTGATTTTAAGATTGGATGTGATCATGTGAACAGGAAAAAATACTCATGAAAGCCTTTCAAAAAAAAAAAAAAAAAAAAAA